TGCTGGATAGTTGAATGGTTTTTATTTTTAATTTTTATTGAATTCTCCAGTAAGCAAGTATACATTTATTTCTTAAAGTGTATATCAAAAAAGGATATTCGTTGTCCAGAATTCATCTTGGAAAATATCTATAATATAGTGATAGACAGCACGCTAATCATTTGTTACAAAAACTTTTACCATATAAGCGTTAAATTACACACGTATGTAACTAAATTGACAAGCACTTTCGACAATACACATTTTCGTCTTCTTCAGGTCATTAGAAGATATAAGAACCTTTTTTTGAATACAAAATTTTAAAACATTCCAATCTTAATTNTGTATATCCTATGTGTCAGTGTCCAGCAACCATGAGCAAAAAATCTTTTAAGTGCTTTCAGCTTGTGAGTGACCTCTGTCCAAAATGGACATGTGTTGTTCACAAAATCATGGCAAGACAACTTCAAATGCTTGATGAATGCCATGGAAAACAGTTTTCTACATTGTATTACCAAAACTTGTAAGCAAAACACACACACTATTTATAAGAAATGTTATGAGTTCAATGAATTTGACCATATATCACGAAATAAAAGACAACTCATCTTATTTGTATAAAATAAATATGTATCATATTTATTTTATACATCCCAGTGTGCAGTTGCTGCATGCTTAACATGGTTACTCCAGACTTGTACTGTATTGGTTTGTCCACTTTGCTTGGTAGCACGTTCATGTCCATGGTTACTGGATGCTGCTCCATATGATATACCCTAAGACATTTATGTTCTTGCATATAGCATCTTACACTACAGGTATACCTCGACTTATGTCGTTTTGACTTACGTCGTTCCCAATTATACATCGTTTGTCAGAAAAGTATATGGAAAAATAAAAATCAAGTTTAAGTCATTTTATTCGACTTTACATCTGTCCGCCACAAATATTGAAGTCGTAGTATCAGTAGAAAAGCATTTAAAGCACATAAAATCATATTAAAATATATACATTTACATCCTTATTAACCATATATTATTAGAAATGCATTAATAAATAAAATACAGAACTGGGAATGGTAATTTATGATTTAGCCTAGTGACAAGTAGATTCGGAGACAAGTAAATTTGACTTACGTCGTCTCTTCTGGAACCAATTACCTACGTAAGGCGAGGTATACCTGTATATGCAAGAACTTAAAATTCATATTTATACAATGATTCATTATAATAGAGATTTGTATGAGACACTCATTTGCCAAACTGATTAACTTCACAAAACAAAAAGTAGAGATTGTTGATAAAATAATATACATTTTTTTTAAAAATTCCTTTTAAAATTTAAATTTAAATAAACATTTTAGAATTTATTATTACAAGCATAGTTTTTATCTAATGACATATAAAATAATGATTATTCTAAACATATATTATTTTTTCCTTTTTTGCTTAACTAAGGGAGTTAAGCAAATTGATTGTATGTGTATATATATTATACACATACATCAGTGCATGCGGTGACATTTAATGTTAGGGAAGCTGAGCTGGCCCTGGATAGAATCATTCAAAGCATTATATGATATTTTGGTGTGTTGCATCCATGAACTAAATTGCATGAGATTGGTGCTCTGTAAAGTGCATGCGCAAATACATATAATCTGGATGTTTTACACCATTCAAATATTTTTGCTGTAGAAGCTGTCCTGTATTCAACAATATAGTGCTTCCATTGGGAATATGCATATACGAATTTGTATTCAAATATACAATAGCAATCTTATCATTTTTTTTCACATGTAGTATAGAAATTTGTAATAAGATACATAATGTGGTTATAATAAAATACTAATTTTAATTAATTCAAAGTATGTTAAAATATGAAAATAATCCCACAATATGTATTTACATTTTAGAAAATACAAGGAAAAACTGCATTTCTACAGCTTCCATAATGGCAAGCCACTGACATACATATACATATTATATTTCCAAAATACAACACATTGACTATAAATAGTATATAAATTTATTATAAATATAAATCTAAACATAACAGGATAAAGTTTTGTTAAATTTCTAATTAGATCTGATAGCAATAAAATTTTGCACTAAATTTTGGTATGATTTTAATTCTTTAATTTAATTCTGCTGTCAGATTGACAGAATTTGTTTAGTACATTTTTGCTAGATTTAAATCTTAATTCTGTATGCATGTTTATGTTTTTCAACAGGATTTATTATTGAAGATCATCAAACTTAAATACACAAAAATATTTTGAACTAATGTATTTTTAATACTTTATATAAAAAAAATTTATTTTTTACCTTTACTTGATTCTTCACGACTAATAAAAGCAGCATCTATATCCTCGAGCAGAATAAGAGATTGCTGAGGAGCTATATTCATTAAATGATTAAGTCTGTCATCAGAAAGTCCTCTTTCACTCAAATTAAGTACACATATGCTATATTCAAGTTCTCCTGCCAATGCTGTACTAAATCATAAAATAATTTATTAAAAGAAATAAAATAAATTACTTAAAATGTTTTTCTATTGAAAAAATTTTTATATTTCAAAATCACAGATAAAATATTTTGAATTTTAATTTTTAAGTTTTCAAATTCTCATAAAACTAAATTTACAATCTGTATAACAGTCAAAATATGTTGTTTGTATGTATATTACGTAAAGACTTCTATACTGTTCAATGTAGCCACACCAAATTTGGTAAGAATATTCTTTGACACTCTATACAAAATACTATTGGGTTCACCATCCCAACCACCCCTAAAGCCCACACTCTCTTAATTTAAGTCTGAGCAATTTTTTGTTTTGCAATTTCATTATTTTAAATACTCAATATATATACAGTCGACCCCCTATAACGCGGTAGATACGTTCTGCTTTATAAGAATTTCGCGTTGTAGGAATCTTTTGTTTATAGCATAGTTTATACAGATTATTCCCAAAAAATTATACATGTTTTGGAAATGTCGAGTGAAATTAGTCTAGAATCAATTAATTTTATGGAAGAAAACCTTTCAAACAGCTGTAGTTTGTAAACTGCACACGTGCTGGGCTGTGATTGGCTCATGTATTTGAGAATATAAGAATTTCGCGTTGTAGGAATCCTCAAATACATGAGCCAATCACAGCCCAGCACGTGTGCAGTTTACAAACTACAGCTGTTTGAAAGGTTTTCTTCCATAAAATTAATCGATTCTAGACTAATTTCACTCGACATTTCCAAAACATGTATAATTTTTTGGGAATAATCTGTATAAACTATGCTATAAACAAAAGATTCCTACAACGCGAAATTCTTATAAAGCAGAACGTATCTACCGCGTTATAGGGGGTCGACTGTATATATATTGAGTATTTAAAATAATGAAATTGCAAAACAAAAAATTGCTCAGACTTAAATTAAGAGAGTGTGGGCTTTAGGGGTGGTTGGGATGGTGAACCCAATAGTATTTTGTATAGAGTGTCAAAGAATATTCTTACCAAATTTGGTGTGGCTACATTGAACAGTATAGAAGTCTTTACGTAATATACATACAAACAACATATTTTGACTGTTATACAGATTGTAAATTTAGTTTTATGAGAATTTGAAAACTTAAAAATTAAAATTCAAAATATTTTATCTGTGATTTTGAAATATAAAAATTTTTTCAATAGAAAAACATTTTAAGTAATTTATTTTATTTCTTTTAATAAATTATTTTATGATTTAGTACAGCATTGGCAGGAGAACTTGAATATAGCATATGTGTACTTAATTTGAGTGAAAGAGGACTTTCTGATGACAGACTTAATCATTTAATGAATATAGCTCCTCAGCAATCTCTTATTCTGCTCGAGGATATAGATGCTGCTTTTATTAGTCGTGAAGAATCAAGTAAAGGTAAAAAATAAATTTTTTTTATATAAAGTATTAAAAATACATTAGTTCAAAATATTTTTGTGTATTTAAGTTTGATGATCTTCAATAATAAATCCTGTTGAAAAACATAAACATGCATACAGAATTAAGATTTAAATCTAGCAAAAATGTACTAAACAAATTCTGTCAATCTGACAGCAGAATTAAATTAAAGAATTAAAATCATACCAAAATTTAGTGCAAAATTTTATTGCTATCAGATCTAATTAGAAATTTAACAAAACTTTATCCTGTTATGTTTAGATTTATATTTATAATAAATTTATATACTATTTATAGTCAATGTGTTGTATTTTGGAAATATAATATGTATATGTATGTCAGTGGCTTGCCATTATGGAAGCTGTAGAAATGCAGTTTTTCCTTGTATTTTCTAAAATGTAAATACATATTGTGGGATTATTTTCATATTTTAACATACTTTGAATTAATTAAAATTAGTATTTTATTATAACCACATTATGTATCTTATTACAAATTTCTATACTACATGTGAAAAAAAATGATAAGATTGCTATTGTATATTTGAATACAAATTCGTATATGCATATTCCCAATGGAAGCACTATATTGTTGAATACAGGACAGCTTCTACAGCAAAAATATTTGAATGGTGTAAAACATCCAGATTATATGTATTTGCGCATGCACTTTACAGAGCACCAATCTCATGCAATTTAGTTCATGGATGCAACACACCAAAATATCATATAATGCTTTGAATGATTCTATCCAGGGCCAGCTCAGCTTCCCTAACATTAAATGTCACCGCATGCACTGATGTATGTGTATAATATATATACACATACAATCAATTTGCTTAACTCCCTTAGTTAAGCAAAAAAGGAAAAAATAATATATGTTTAGAATAATCATTATTTTATATGTCATTAGATAAAAACTATGCTTGTAATAATAAATTCTAAAATGTTTATTTAAATTTAAATTTTAAAAGGAATTTTTAAAAAAAATGTATATTATTTTATCAACAATCTCTACTTTTTGTTTTGTGAAGTTAATCAGTTTGGCAAATGAGTGTCTCATACAAATCTCTATTATAATGAATCATTGTATAAATATGTATTTTAAGTTCTTGCATATACAGGTATACCTCGCCTTACGTAGGTAATTGGTTCCAGAAGAGACGACGTAAGTCAAATTTACTTGTCTCCGAATCTACTTGTCACTAGGCTAAATCATAAATTACCATTCCCAGTTCTGTATTTTATTTATTAATGCATTTCTAATAATATATGGTTAATAAGGATCTATTTTAAGCTTACAAACAAATAAATTTTAGTTTTTAATATAGTACAGTAAAAAGTAATCTAAATTTACGAATGCATGTACTTTAAATACAGTAAATACTTGTAAATGTATATATTTTAATATGATTTTATGTGCTTTAAATGCTTTTCTACTGATACTACGACTTCAATATTTGTGGCGGACAGATGTAAAGTCGAATAAAATGACTTAAACTTGATTTTTATTTTTCCATATACTTTTCTGACAAACGATGTATAATTGGGAACGACGTAAGTCAAAACGACATAAGTCGAGGTATACCTGTAGTGTAAGATGCTATATGCAAGAACATAAATGTCTTAGGGTATATCATATGGAGCAGCATCCAGTAACCATGGACATGAACGTGCTACCAAGCAAAGTGGACAAACCAATACAGTACAAGTCTGGAGTAACCATGTTAAGCATGCAGCAACTGCACACTGGGATGTATAAAATAAATATGATACATATTTATTTTATACAAATAAGATGAGTTGTCTTTTATTTCGTGATATATGGTCAAATTCATTGAACTCATAACATTTCTTATAAATAGTGTGTGTGTTTTGCTTACAAGTTTTGGTAATACAATGTAGAAAACTGTTTTCCATGGCATTCATCAAGCATTTGAAGTTGTCTTGCCATGATTTTGTGAACAACACATGTCCATTTTGGACAGAGGTCACTCACAAGCTGAAAGCACTTAAAAGATTTTTTGCTCATGGTTGCTGGACACTGACACATAGGATATACACTTACACACACATCTTTGTTAACAAGATACTTTAAAATATTGCAATCGAATGATGCCATATTACACTAGAACATAAATTGTTGATATGAGAAACCTTCATTATTTGAAAATTCAAGAGACAAAATAAGCACAACTTTGAATTATCCAAGATTTACATATTTCTGTACGTACAATATGCCAAATGCCATGTTAATGATGTAATTTATTAAGCAAACAGAATACAGCTATGTATATAGAACATTACTTTCATTAATTAATAACTAAATAATATAAATAAACTATAGATAAACAACACATGTCATATGATGTTCAACCTCACAGGTTGCCAGATAGGTTCTATAAAACATAAAGCAGAATTGTCAAAATATAGTCAAAATTATTTTTAAATTTATCCAGAAAGTAGGTTTCCCAAATCTAGTAACATAGAGCCCTATAAATATCTCAATTTGCTACTTGTAGTCCAGTCTCGAAACCCTGAAACTCTGCCACATTTTATGAGATAAGAGATAGGGTAGTCAATGGGTAAGGTAACACCAGAAAATGTGTTACTGTAAAAGCAAAGATATGTTGACCAGATTAGAGTTGTTCATGATCTATTATTCTCTTATAGTATGGAGGTATGTAATCTTTGATCTAAATATACAAGTTAACATAAACACATTACAGTTTGGACAGAATTATCACTTCAAATTTCAAAGTAGCCCTATTTCAAACTAACAAAATTTCTTAACATGTAAATTCCATCCAACAAATAAGTTAATACAGTTATAAATTAACAGGATTTTGAATTATCCTAGTTTGAATTAATGAGGATTTTCTGTATTGCATTTGGTTACATTCCATTGATAAATGTTATAGTGTACTGTACAAGAACTTAAATATGCCTTAAGATTATAATTATAAATTTATTCAAGTTAATACAGTACAATTACAAGATAAAGTTTAGATAATTATTGAATTTATATTTATTAGAAATAGTTAGCTAAGTGATTTTCAGGAATCACAACCTATTGGAGGAAATATTGATAAGCTGCATATATGTATATTGTAAATAGTACAAGTTAACAGTTTTGTATAATGACCATGTAGATGTAGTCTGTAAATGTTTTTATGAAATTTGTAAAATAACCATAATATGCCTATTTCATTTAGTTTTGCATGTAAAAAGTTTTTCTGAGAGTCAGTGGTACTTGCCTGACTCTTTATACACTATTTATTTCTTTATTTAGTTTTAACCGTTATCTCTCAAGTTTATAGTTAGTAAATGTTTAAGTGCTTCTTACACTATATAGTGGGACAGTAACAAGTGTAGCAGTTCATGGCGTCACAAGTGTATTTCTTTCCAGTAAATTTTTCATTTAATCATGTGGTATAGATATAATCAGTATTATAAATATTAGCATATTAATATTTATTGGATATTAAAATCAAAGCATTTTTCATACAATCAATAATTAATTTATTTTAATCATATTTAATTTAGTTTATACTTTTCTAGTCAATATAGCATATGAAGGATTGAGTCATGTAACACTCAGTGGTTTGCTAAACATGTTAGATGGAGTTGCTTCATCTGAAGCAAGAATAGTATGCATGACAACAAATTTTATTGACAGGTAAGTATAGGATAAATTACTTTTTCTTTAAATAACAGAAAAATTAAATTTTAAACTTTTTATACAAAGACTTGATCCTGCATTGATACGACCTGGCCGCGTAGACGTCAAAGAATACATTGGGTTTGCATCAGCTCATCAGTTACGGTTAATGTTTGAGAGATTTTATCCATATGAGAGTAAAGAAAGTGCTGATAAGTTTGTTTCAACAGCATTACAGACTAATAAAGACATTAGCATGGCCATGGTACAGGGATTTTTTATGTTTTATAAAAATGATCCTAAAAATGTAATCAGTAATATTGAAAAGATATGGACTTTATGACACTGAAGAAAATAAATTATTCAAATTAAAAGTTAATATAAATTGTAAATAAAGCTATATACTGTAATGCATCACAAGAGCTATGATTTTTATAAAATTTTATAGTTACACACAGTGTGGGCCGAAGGTAAATTTTTAGAATAAGTTAAAGTAAAAACGTTTAAAATACATAAAAGATTTCATAAATATAAAAATAGGAAAATACTTGCATTTAATAGACATTTAAAAGTAAAATTCTTTAATATTTGCCAATTTATATCGACTGTTAAGTTTTAGAAATGTAGTCCAAAAGCATTAGAACTTGAGGATTAATGTAAGTCTGAAAGCACTACTTGTTTTTCAAACTACATTAAGGCAAATATTTTTCTGTTTTTAAAGGCGTTTAAGCACTGTTTACCTAAAAATAATTAAATTCTTTAGTGTTTTTTTATTTCGTTTTCTGATACTTATTACAATACCTTTTAACTGAATTGAGTTTTAAAATTAATTTATCATAAAATTTTGCCTTGACAATTCTATAAATTAGTCCTACCATAAATAGGAAATCTTCCAATTATTATGTTTCATCAAGGTCACATTCTATGTGGTTAAATGTGTAAATATTTTCTCAAGGTACTTTTGGCTCATTCTGTATATATAACTTATAATAGTACTGTACTTCAGTACAGTCGACCCCCCTATAACACGGTAGATACGTTCCGTTTTTTATGAAATTGATGTTTTAGGAGATCTTGCCAATCACAGCCCGACATGTGTGAAGTTTACGGACTACGGCTGTTTGAAAGGTTTTCTTCCATAAAATTAATCGATTCCTAGACTAATTTGACTCAATATTTCCAAAATACGTATAATTTTTTGGGAATAATTCGTATAAACTATGCTATAAACAAAAAATTGTAGGATTACTTACCGAGTGTGCACCGTTCGACTATGCCGTTGCTTACGCTTGTTTTTGTCGCGGAGCAGCGCACCAAACGGTGCCGCGTTTTCTGATAAATTATTTTTCTGCGAAAACTTCATTGAACTTTGGAGACATCATTAATATAAATAATTTGTATGACCGTTGAATAAGAAATGTTTCTTTCACAAGAAATGTATAAAATTAGTGCTGTATTAGACTTACAGTACCTAATTTACATACAGTACAGACGATAGTAAACTCAACTTACTCGCCTAACCTCTCTGTAGCATGGCGCTGGACGGTGGAAAGTAGTTCGGCTGCCTGATGACGTTTTACCGAATTATAGGAGTTTTTTTACCGTGTTTGTATGGATACCGTCGCAATTTTTTCGCCGTCATATAGGAATCCGAACTATAGGAACCCGTGTTATAGGGGGTCAACTGTACTATTATAAGTATAAGTTATAGTACATAAGTACTATAACTTATACTGAAGTAGATAGTGCATCATTTCATTATAATCATCAAATGCAGTTTTTAAGGATGTAAGTTAAATTTTTTTCATACATAATATTGTAAAAACTGAAAATTAAATAAACAGATATTTTGCAAAAGCCATTTTCTATTTACTGTATTAACTTTATTACATAATTTCTGTGTGTAAACAGCAACTATACTATATTAAGAATAATTTATTACACAAGTTTCTAAGGAATTAAATGGGAATAAAAAAGTAAGATAAGTCTTCTTGATAAGCTTATTTATAATATTACAAATATACATATATATAAAGGATGTATATGTATATGTATAAAAATATAAAGGATGTACCCATTGACAGTGATCGGACTACTTTTTCTAAGGTGATTTCCAGGCTATGCCATCTAATGCAGTGTCAACCAGAACTGGCCATTGAAGTCATGCAATTCGACACCCTATGAGTTTTTCTGTGGAGTTTGTCAAATCTCATACCTGTACCAACAACTCCCAACAATTTCTGAACTTGATGGATAATGGATGCATTATTGGTGGAATTATGCAGCAGTATCATAAACAATTTTGTGAAAAGTGTATGTGTATGCTGCCAGGCTGATGGGGAACATTTGGTGGAAACTGTCTTCTATGCATAAAAATTACTTAGTAGTAGAACCCAATAAATTTCTTTTTGGATTCTACTATTAAGTAGGACTCAAAAAAAAGTTTATTTTAAAGTCTTATGTACAGTACGTTAACATATAATTATATCATAACTAGATCACTAAAGCTCTCAATACAGTAATTAGCATTAGGAAAGAGTATAAAGCCTTAAACTGATTGCCTAATTTGACTACTGTACATAATGTATCCGCTCCAATACTTAGGTATCACATAACTTCCTAATTAACATCAGAATCGTAATGCTGGCACCAACTAAGAGACATGTAGGAAGAAGCAGATTGCTGTATTGTTTACTTTATGCTATGTTGTTACTATTAGTATGATGAAATCTTGTTCAGCTCTGAACTGTTATCTTTGTGAAACCTCTGAAAATGTGAAAAATAGAATATAATGCCCAAGGATTAATTTATTTATTTAAATAATTATGATCATACAAATAATTTTGGGTCAGTTTAAAGTCTATCCTTTCTTAATATTCCAACCAGGAGTCTGCAGATGAGTATAAATACAATAAAAAATGACCTGAATGATGTTTTAAAAAATTTAAACTGACCAGAAACCGAGTTATTGTACGGCGACCGGAACGAATATGGCGTTCAAAATTTTGTTTATAAACCGAATTGCTCATAAACGGACGTTCGTAAACCGAGGTTTGACCGTATTTATCATGTGGCATTTCACAACAGTTTTTACATTTTGTATATTATTCTATCGAGTTTTACTTTCCCGGCTCTGTTATACATAACAGAATGAAAGTATGGCGATCGGTCAAAATATGATCCCCAAAATTTTTACGTTTCGGATTCAGGGGACCTTGAAACGTCGAGAAATGTAAAAAATTCGAGTTTTCTTTTTCTGTTAGGGTGTCTGGAAGCCACGATTTTGTTTACCCACTTTGAAATTCTCAGCTTTTAGTCGAAAATTTCAGATTAAAATGGCAAAAAGCTTAATTTTGAGGGTAGGCATAGGTTTTATTAAAAAAAATTGTAAATGCTAATTACAATTTTTTGCTCAAGTTGGGTCGGACTTAATGACGAGTAAAAGTGTCATTAATAATTAAGTCCGACCCTACTTGAGATGTGATACACGACCGCCTTTATCTTCCTACCCTTCGACTTTTAACCACCAAAATTTAATAGCACCAATCTCCTAGGTTGACGAGATTACATTTTAGTGGTTTTTAATAATGAAATATTGTAACAGATGGCGTCACACACGCAGTTTAAAATTTTGCCGGGAAAGTTAAGCAACTCGTTGCTGGATTTTTTTTCTTTTGGCTTTTACGTGTGAATAATAATAATTCAAATGAATCCTGTGAATATAATCAAAGTAAAACTCTCTCATGTGATATGAATTAAAATGTTTAAAAGGTTAAATAGAGCGTTTATTCGTCATCGAATAGTTTTCGAATTTATTCCATTCGGCAAATTGATTATTCTTTCGATTTTAACGTAAATTTATAGAAAATTTGAAAACTAGTTAAGAAGCTGAATAAGGAATTATTTCTAAAAATGAATACATTTGTTAGAGATGAATTACATAACTTAAGGTAATTTTAAGTATTGTAAATATTATTTTTGCTTATAAATTTCGATTTTCTTAATGGAATTAGGCTACACAGTTAAAGAAAAAGCCTTAATTAATACCAATTTAGAACCTCGTCGCTTTTGTTGTAGGAATGAGAAAAAATTGAATTGGTTATAGGCCTATATCTATATCTATACAATACTAATACAGTTGTCCCTTGATAATCCGACAGGTATGGGACCAAAGGTGTGTCAGATTACCAAAAGTGTCCGGATTACCGAAAATAATTACATATTTCGCATTGTTTTGCTAGCAGTAACTTACAATATTCTCTACTCCAACTGTTCGAACAGAACTGCTCACATAAAACACACGAAATGTGTGTCATCGTGTAAAAATTGGATGGGGAGATTCACATCGCGATATGCTTCTGTGCAAGCAGACACGTATATCTCCCAACGTATAAAGAATTATTTTTATTTAAAAATGGATAGATAGAAAAAAAATCACGGTTAATCCTCAAAGGATTTCCTTACCGTGTATACCAGCCTTAACGGGGACGGGTACCTTGACGGGAGGTGCGTCGGACTACTGAGCATGTCGGATTAAAAAACGTCGGACTATAGAGGGACAACTGTATTATAAAGAGGTAATGTTCGTATGTATGTATGTATGTATGTATGTATGAAGTAAGTAAGTAAGTTTGGATATAGCAGGTAATGTCCGAAAGTATTCATCCGATTTCAAAAATTCTTTCACCAATATTTAGAATGGAGCTTCAGGGTGGACATAGGCTGTATATTATTCCGTTAAACATTCATATAAATTAAAAGATATCATCTAGGTTAAGGCTTTTATGTGCAACAGATGGCGCTACGAGTACGACACTCTAAGTTTGCTTTTCTGTGAAAATGAACTAAAGCGGATCATCTATCTATCTATCTATATAAATAAAAATGTAATGTTCGTTTGTTCCTACCGATTCCTTTGAAATTTTGACAACGCTGCATTCGAATACGCACGTGTTTTTATATAATATACCTGTCGAAATTCCCCCCACTGAAGGGAGATGGTTAGGGTTAAGGCTTACCGTAAAGAACTGCTTCTATTTATACTATTTTAGATGCGGTTTTTGCGTTTTTGATTGCATTTTAATAGGGTACGTCAACAGAATGTACACTAAGAAGGGATTTTTCGATATTCCCCCCACGGGGGAGAGGGACAGAATTAAGGCTTATTGTGAAAAACTTGGCTTCTATTATATTATTTTACATGCGGGTTTTTCGTTTTTGATTGCGTTTTAATAAGGTATGTCAAGAGAATGTGCACTAAGAAGAAATTTTTCGAAAAATTTCCCCCCTTCACGAGGGATGTGTTTTACATATATAACAGATACATTTTGAGCCACAACAACGCGTGGCGGGGTCTGCTAGTATATTATATATATACACACAATATTTACATTTTTAACTCTCCTCTGAAGGGACTAAGAAGGCCTTTTTGGCAAGCCCAAAATGAGGCGGCCGGGTGATGAAAGACCCGAACAATTCTAAGAGTTGCTCATCCTGTTCGATCTGGAGTCTCAGAGTTATAATAAATTGGACCTTTGCCCTCTCGGCCCAATTTATCGCAAGTTACACACGCTACAATGCTTAAGACGAAGTCCACAGCTGAAAGCCATACACATAATCTACTGCAATTCTATACTGCGAATGAGAGTGGAATTCTATAAATGGATCGTTTAGAACTTTTCCTTTTCTATTTAAATAAATAAGAAAAAAATTAAATAACAGTTTATATAAAACATAGAGGCCACTCTTTTTTACTAGTATTTTCTTTATATGAGTGATTTAAAAATTCGAATTGAGAGTTACGGGCAATTATCTTGGCAAATTAAAAATTATTAAAAGAGCGAATAACTAACGGCTCAGTTCATTTAATTCTCACTACACTGGTACTGATCAGCAATTTAGGTATCCTAAACGTGTTGTATTACTCTTATTAAACTTTAATTAAAATTTAAGGATCCATTAAAGTGCGTAGTAAAGGTATACTCGAGTTCTTTAAATCAATTTTGCTGCCTAACTATGGAAGAGGTTGCAAAGTACACGAGCTTCATTGTCAATGTAGAACAAATTATGGGAATTTCGTGAGAACTTAGAACAGGTATAATTGTTAGTAAAAATAATCTGAATGAAATGCTTATAAATGGACACAAAATTTAATCCAATCATCTACAAAATATATGCTTTTACTTGATGTCCAAATATAGTATACGAATGACATAAAACCATTTGCATATAGCAATACGTGTAAAATTGTGGAGTTATTTTTCGAGTATAAATATTTTTTTCTCATTTAAATTATTAAATATTAAATATTTTATAGTTTAGTATATATTTAAAAATCGTTCCAACTACAATAATACCATAGAAATGAATACATCCTATGGGAATGAGAAAAAATCTTCCTACAGTTGTGAATGTACTATAACTATAATATTTATTTCAAGATGTTCACTAAAAAATCTTGAAATTATTATTATGATTATTATTTTTTGTTTTGTAAGTCTTTCCACTCGGCAAGCACTAAGATTGGCTTTTTCTCGTGTTCTTTGAGGCCATGGGTAACCATGGCCTCGAACCTGTACAGACTATTCATGAAAATTTCTTAAAGTTCCGAACCGAACGCGAATCCGGAATTTTTGTGTTGATGAAACGAGGCAACACGTGGGCAAGAGCGTAGGAGTAGTGCCTACCCAGAGGACTTTCTATGAGTAATTGGCTCCTATGTAAGTGTTACATGCGTGAAAAAAGCCTGAAAACTCCACTTCGCCAGCCCATTGGTAAAGCGTGAACGGCCACTGGTGGGAATTAAGAGAAAATATATGTGTGTGCGTGTGTGTGTATGACGTGCTTATTTATATATTCTTATGCTCATAATATGTGTTTATATTTAATTTCTTTAGAGTGAAAGGAAAACAAATATACACTGAAGGAACGAGTATTCGTATATTTATGTATTGTATTTTAGTGCTTATCATCATTATATTCGTCTTCGGATCATTTATGATTTATCAGAAAACGAAAAGTAAATATATAATGAATTTCTATTAAAATAATAAAACAAGAAATTAATTAACTTTTATTACAGGTTCCTCATTACCATGTATTTCTGCTTCTTGCGTGGATGCTGGTTTGTATCAAAAAAATAATGCAAATAATTTAATTAATTAAAATTTTGATGACGTTTCTAAATTCAAAACATTTTAAACTTATTAAAATTAACAGCAATTGACATTTTGCTTTGGATTGACGAATCTATTGACCCATGTGAAGACTTTTATTCCTTTGTTTGTGGTCAAAAACAGAAAAATTCATGGAAACAAGGAATAATTTCCAATAAGATAATAGAAAAACAGCGGAAAATAGATAATGTTTTAATAAGTAAATTTATTATCTTAATTTACATTTAAAATTAAATCTTTATAGCACATTACAATTTTCTCTTTCAGACATATTTAATAAAAAAATGATGAATTTGACAGCATCAATTTCTCGAAAGGCCTTAAATTATTATCAATTCTGTCTTTATCCATGTAAGTTTAATGACTTCTAACATAAGTTACAATAAATTTAGATAGATTAAAGTTTATTTTCAGATAAAAGGAATGAGAAAAATATGATATCTTACATGATAAAGGAATTTGGGGGATGGCCCATATTGAGAAATTGGAAGGAAACCGGATTTCTATTCAGTGCGGTGGCATCAGTAACTAAGTTATCCAAACATGGCCTTTTTGAAGTGGGAGTAACTTTAAACGGCAAAAATAAAGCTGAAAATATATTAATGGTTACAATTAACATATGATTTAATTAAATATTTTTTCAATTATATTATTTAAAATACTTAAGACGACATTTCAATAAAACTCAGAGGCGGCCCTAGAATTTGAGATGCCCTAGGTAAAATTTATTTTTATTAAAAGACAGATGGAGATATAGCATATGTTTATTTAGGAGTACAATACTATAGTATAAACATTTTTAATATAGAAATAGTAAAATACGCAACGAAGTAATAAAAATATTTTACAATGAATTGGATTATTGAATAGGTATAGAAATTCTTCTATAAAACTTGTTTCTTCTTTTAACAGCTCTAAATTCATCAATCACATGGAAAAATCCAGTTTTGAAGCAAAATTTCTTTCAATCGACAAGATCGAAAGTAAAGAAAGTCCCTCTTGACACATTGTTGATTGGAGATATTTTTTGATTAATTTTAACTTTGAAAACGATTCTTATGCAGATGAAACAGATACCAAAACAATTATATTTTCAATAATTACTAATTTCTTTATTTAAATACTAAAATATACTATAATATTTGTAGGCCCTTATAAGGGAGGTCCTAAGTGCCGCGGTTTTTTCTTTTTTGCTTTTATGTAGGGCCGCCCCTGAAAAAACTACGCTTAAAAATTGGATTTTGATAGTAAACTTTTAAATAATAATGTGCTTACAGATTAAACGTGTTCCGTCAGATGACGTCACAAATCAAACGATAATAGGTTTGACATCATATCCTTCCGCCTATCTCACCGCTTTTGAAATCGAAGAATTAGAACAATTGCACGAAGCAAGAAATTTTGTGAGTGTAAATTACACTTTCTCATTATTTTATTTCGATGGCGTATATAGAAGGTGATTTGCTAATTATGACTCAAATTTACGATCGTATATCTTTCGTTCTACTTGTCGAATATAAATCAAATTTTGAAAACCGGTAGGTGTTGCTTTTCTTTGAATTCTAAGAACTTTTGAGTTCGATTGTTCTAAAAATGGAGGCAGCAGTTGCGAGCGAAGTTGACGTGCACATCAAGCTTCTTTCCGAAGAAGGTTTTTCATCTCGTGCTGTCGTAAAAGCCCTCGAGAAGAATGGAATTGAAGTTCCCCAGGAGTTCTTAGTAACAAAACGAAAAAGCAACAAGCGAGTCCTGGTGAGTTACACCCAATATTTCCAAGGGCTCGCAAATCTCGAAGTAAGGATAAAATAAGGAAAGTTAAGGAAATAAGTAGAAAAGAAAATCCACCTTGCCATAGACCGTAGCAAAACGTCTGGGTACATCTCAGTTCACAGTTAACACCATTATACATAAAGATCTGCAAGTAGCTACCAAGAAAAAAAGCATCTGGACATCGCCTCACATCTTCACACAAACAGAACAGGAAGACTAAAGCAAAGAAGCTCTATGAGATGCATCTGGCTGGAGTAGAAAGTGAGTACATGGCCACTCTAGATAAAGCGTATATACATATACCTTGATTACTGCAATGAAACTCGAAAAATTCTGTATGTGCAGCACGATGTGCCAGAAGAATGACTTGTCAAATTCAATTTCACGAGCTCTATGACGGCTTTTCTTTTCCGCTAGACTTATCATACCAGGATGGTGTAATAAGTCTAGCGGCAGAGAAAAGCCATCATAGAGCTCGTGAAATTGAATACAAGACTAGACAAGAAGCGTATTACAGAGGCTTGTCAAATGTCACGAAAGATGGCCTGAAAGATTTGTAATTGTTGGAGGAATGACGGACCAGGGAACACTTCCTCATATCAAAGTGCCAAAAACTGTGAAAGTTAACGCTAAGTACTATGTGGAGAACATTTTGAAACCATATTTGAAATATGAGCTTCCAAAGTTGTATCCTGGAGAAGAAATCAAAGTGACTCTTCACCATGATAAAGCGTCTAGTCACACAGCTAGATATACAACCACTCATCTCCAGAAGTTGAAGGCTGACGGTGATCGAACCACATTTTTGCAGAGGACACATCCACCAAAGCATTTGACATCGACGGCCGGATGGCTGAGCGGTCAAGGTGGTAGCTACCGCTCTGGGGGACCCGGAGCGGTAGCTATCCGGACGGGTCGAAAAGTTTCCAGGAATTTTTCAAGGTGTGGTCCAATTAGATATATCAGACCCCGTCCCTCACCATCCGGCCGCCCCATTGTAGGCTTGGCCGAACCTATAACTGGCTTGCTAAAAGAGGCCCTCTTAGTACCCACAGGGTGGAAAGAGTTTTTAAGAAAACCTACTTATTATAAATTAAGACTATGGCTTTAGCAACTTTGAGACTTTTTAGAGGATCAGTTCCATCCGGAACAAAAATTGATCTGTATTAAGAAATTCGAGATTATCTGAGAAATTTTCGACTATGCCCAACTATTTTAAATAATTTTTAAAGCTATCATTCTTTAATACAAGAAAGAAGTAATTAAATGAGGAAACTATAATCAATTTTAATTTTCTGTTAATTGTTTGACAGGAAGACGAAACTGATCCTTACGGTTCACTAGAAATAATGACTATTAAAGAATTCGGCAAAAGAACCACATTTGTAAGTTAATTACAATTATAATAAATGTTAAATTATTCACTTATTGGAAATTTCATTTTAACGAAGGACAAATGGATCGACTTTTTTAATAAAGTATTAGAAGATGCCAACAAGACTGTTACTGAGAGTGACGCCATAGCAGTGTACAACGTCAATTATTTTAAAAATCTTATCGTGACCATAAATACAAAATACATTAGCGAAAGGTTAAGTTAAATAAATTATAATATTACTAAATAAATTAATATATAACAATTTTAGAAAAAGAATATTTCACTCGGAGTGAGTACAATTTCCTCAAGTTGCAGCTAATATTCGTAGAATAGAATAATTAACCTAACGTTTATCGTATATGGATCATAATTAGTTAAGATTTTAAAGTTGTAAAGATTGGGATCAATTGAAATTATGCATGAAATAATTCAAAATTTACTGATTTGGCTGTAAACGTTAATTAAAACTTCTAAACTATTGGGAATTAACTAATGATTTTACTAAGTAATACATGCCTACAACGTATATATTTACTTAAATTATTTTTAAAAATAATATAAATGCTTTAAACAGCTGTTATATAATTAGATAAAATGGTCAGGACATCTTATAAAATTTATAAGAAATTCTCAAAAGAGACAATACATTAAAAGTGTCTTTATCTTGTTTTTTTTTACACATGTCAAGATGAAGACATTTATAATGTATTGTCTCTTGAGAATTTTTAAAAAATACATTTTCTAAGTTTGAACTATTATATAACTTTATAAACATCTCTTTATACAACTATCAGCATTTATTTAATGTTTAGAATCAAGTAATTGCGAGTGTATATTTAGGTATTACTAATATAATAACCATAGTTCGGTCGTGGGTCGTGCCTCGCCAGGACAGGTTGGCCACGTGGAGTTTTCCGGGTTTTCTCCATGTCTGTAACGCCTGAATAGAGGCCAGTTATCCTTAAAAGACCTCCCGGAAGTCATCCCCACTAGGCAGATCGCCCAAGTGTTGAATTGTCGTACATAACAAAACAAACAACTCTACTTGTATGTTACAACAGATAGCATAAACCACGTAATTTGTAGAAATATTATCAATCTCTACTTTCTCATAAAAAGTATTCCATCATGCCTGACTGAGGAATTTCTAGTTACCACATGAAGTTCGATTAAAATTTACAAGCCTAATTTATTTTTCAATAAGTTGTAATTGATAAAAGAAGTCTATATAAAGTTTCATTTAGAAACGTGAAAAACCTTATTCTAAAATAGTTTTAAAAATTTTACTAAATAAAATTTAAAATAAAAAACATAAATTGTAATTTTCTAAAATTACAATAAATTAATTACGAGTGTATTGATGTTATAAGGCATTGGCGATTTTCCTGGAGGATTCTCTATAAGAAACTCTCCATATTTAGGTGTTAGACACGTGAACAAAATTTGTAAAATCCATACAATTGAGATCAATTTTCCAACACCATTGATTAGTAGCTTAATCCTGATATTAGACCACTGCTAAGCCACTAAATGAATTTCAAAGAATCTGAATGATAGAGACGTGAAAATTATTACGAAATGCTAAGTTTTTTTTAAATTATACTACAGATTACGTTTTCACTGACTTTAATCTGTAATATATTATATTTTTCACGTAGAACTCTAGCAAATTATGTTGTTTTTCAAGCTATTACTTACTTCGGGAATTACATGACCAAATACAGAATTAATAACGTTTCCCAACCTGATAAGTGCATTATGGTGTTGAAGGATTTAATGCCGTTTTATGTCGATCATTTATTTATAAACGAAAACACGGATTTAACTTATATGGTAAGTAATTTGAATTTTATTCAATTCTAAACAACTACTTGAAGTCTCTTCTTATCTCTAGATTAAATATATGATGGAATTTATTACACACGAATTTGAAATATTTTTAAATCAATCATCATGGATTGATGCATCCAAGCGTAAATCTTTAATTAAGAAGGTATTTATATATTGTTAATCTAAACATTTTATATACATTTATACGTATTTCTACGTTTTAAATACATTTTTCAATTTTAAAATATCGATTTTTTTTTCGTAGCTTGAAAATATGCAATTTTTGTATGGTTATGATACAAAAATAAAAGATATCGATTACGTAAATGATTATTATAAACACGTAAGTGTTAATATTAATTAATTTTTAATAAATAAATAAATTATTTTTAATCTTAGAGAAAGTCATTATGAAATTTCATAGGAGCAATATGAAGTACAGTACAATACAAGGACTAATTAAAATATATAAAGGAGACAATATAATAACCCAAAGAAATCAGTTGAAAATCTCCAAGTTCACTTATAATCGAAACATCAAGAACATCATGAAACAAGTGTCGGACAAAAAACACTCAAAAATAGTTTTCAAAAGAACACCTAATTTATAAAGTAATTTAAAAAATGATAAAGACATGATTTAAAAAGAAGAAAAAGCTGGCGTACATAAAATTCCATTTGAAAATCAGGAATTAGGAATTAAGAAAGACTATATTAGGGTCGCAAGAAGGAATTTAGGTGTCAGACTTAAGGAGTACAAATATGACATTAATAAAGGTCACTGCAACACGGTAATATCCTATATGGCACAAGCAGAGGACTCTGTGGTTAAATGGAGTGAAGCGACTACCCTCAGGGCTATGCATTTCCATCATTAGCAATGCACGAAGAAAAAATCGAAATCTGTAGAAAAAAATTAAAGGATGGTTGTATTAACGCCAGGGATGTGGATGGACTAGTTTCCGCATAAAAATTCTACATAAAAGAAAAACTAAAACACAAAAATTCTTAGCCTGTACCTGCCCTTATACTTAGAGACATTTTTGTATATTTATTTCATTTTTATTTTATTTTACATATGTTATTTTTATTTTGTATTATTTACATCGTTATTGTATTAGTTCATTTAGTATATTTTGTTTTATTTTATTATTTATTTGTTAATTTATTTAGTAGTTTGTTTTAAATTTAAATGTAAAAGTGTTCAAACGTTCAGTCGTAAATGTTAAGTTAAAATTAGTGATGTAACAAATTATTACGTATTCGGTTACTATTCGGTATTCGGCCTATTCGGCATATTTTTCGCTATTCGGCCGAATACCGAATATTTAATCACTATTCGGCCGAATACCGAATACCTAAAAACAGGAGTAAGAAATAACAAAAACACAGTAAATTTATCATTTTGGTATTTAGATTTAATGTTATCGGGTTAGTGTTGTTTGTTTATATTTATTTATAACTTATAACATCACAAAATAAAAAAGAAAATAATATTAGTCACATGTATTTATAATTTATAATTACAAAGATCAGCAGACGTACAGTACACACCTATTCGTTCGAGTATCGTCACACATCTGAGGGTCTGATCCTGCCTATCCTTCTTTTTAAGCGCTCGTCTTTGCGTTTCCCTTTCTCTTTTCTCTATTGCTCTAGTGCACGTATGCCTATGCATACATCATAATACGCGCACGATACTTTCGATTCGTCACTTTTCCGTCCTAGATTTCCCATTTTACAATTACGTGTCTCATAGCCTGATGATAACGGAGAAAAGAGACATATAGGACGAACGGAACCTAGAAGCTTGTTAGTCCGAACGGCCCCAGGCTTTCGCCCGTACACGCTAAGTGACTTTCATTACAAGCATTTAGCTTTCCGAAGTCTATGACAACAATTGTTTGGCATTGACGGCCGCGAATTTTGCGCCAATAAGCTGCCTGGACTTGTTCGATTATGTTATCAACTCAACTTCATATTTATTTTCTCATTTTCACTTGGCGGTCCTTCTCTGTTCTTCTTCCGTTATTTACACGTGTAGGTCATTTCATTGTTATCCACATTTGATACCATTTATCACATACTGCCATAACCTGCAAAGCATATGCGAAGCAGGGTTAATTAAAAGAGGAGTATCTCAAGCCAGTAGCATTTAATGCTACAGGTCAGAGGGAGTGCTCCACTAAATGTAAAAAAATGCCATGACGCTCTTGTCTGTCCGCTACAACTGTCAATAATTAACGCGATTGGCGAAGCTTAGTGACAGCGGGCCAATAGAGAGCATAATGCGGTTTGCGCGCCAATTTTCATACGTGCGTTAATCGAGCCGAATAGTTTGGCCGAATATACTATTCGTTGCAACACTAGTTAAAATACGTTCGAATTTTGGTTGCATCTGAAGATGGTCTATCATATTAAATCGAAAACATTAATAATGTTTGTTTAATAAATATTTCTCAGCATAAGGTGTTTGATGATTCATTAAGTATTTTAAAGAGCTGAGTATGATATTTAGTATTTCGTACATTTCGGCACGTAAGATCCTTTCTTAATGTTTTGGATCTTTCCACCTTGTGGATGGAAAGAAGGCACTTTTTGTCATTTTCACTGTGGGCTCAGTACGGCTCCCAATTGCGGCAGCCGGATAATGTAAGACGAGGCATGACGTACCGGGAGGTGCCTCGATTAGTTTCATATAGAAAGTCCACCGGAAAACGCCCTTTAGACAGATCTCCAATGTATTGCATTTCTTATTCGATCAATTTTAAATCCCAAAGAGATTTCCTCACATTTATTATAAATTTTTATAACAAAATCAATAAAAATATTCATTAAAACTTTACATCTTATGAAAAGTTATATTTATTCCCAGGTACCAGATCTGACAGACGATTGGATGCAAACGACTTTATACATTTCTTATATTCCAAACTTAAACAAATATTCACAAATTACCACTCCCGTTAACGGAATAAGGTTATATTTAATTTTATAATATATATATATACTGTATAGTAGAAGTTCGTTAATCAGGCATGTGATTGACACAGTAATTGTACACTGCATCATTATTAAATTGATTAATTAAAGCACGTGGGTAAACAAATCGAAAACATACAGCAGCGTTGGTCTGCAATGTGTTCGGATCGGGTGTAACTTATCGAATTTCGAGAAAATGAGCCAAAACGCCCTCTAATCCGGCACCACTCTGGTATTATAAGTGCTGGGTTAACAGACTTCTTCTGTATAAATTTTATATACTTTTTACACATGTAAATATCTTATAAAATGGTTATATTTTTAAATATTTAGTTGGCCTCAATATTCTATTACAAATGCACGTATTTACAACGAAGAAAGTAGCAACGTCATCGGTAATATTTTTATTTTATTTTTCGTTTTCTTAATCAATTTTTAAAAGGATTTTACATTGCATATTTAATAGAATATTTTACAAATTATTATTTTTTAAATTTAGTAATTCCCGAAACCGTGATACAAAAGCCATTCTTTGACATTGATGCACCCAGGTTATTCACAAAATATATTCTATTTTTTTATATACGGGGGGGGGGTACAAAAATAGGTTGTATACAGTTGTTATTACCGAAAAAACATACAGGAAGAAAAAAACGTTTTAATTTTACGTACAAATTATATCACAAATAAGGAATATGAACTAATAAAAGATAATAAAAATAATAATAATGAATACCAAACATTTGTATTTCTCAGATTTTCAACTGTATACCTACTTTTGCACCCCTCTATATATATTAAATATATACAATACTTTTGCTTCTTTATATTGATTATAAATACTTATTATAGTTACTTGAATTTTGCGTTAATCGGAACTTTAATTAGTCGCGAATTAATTCGTTCGGTTATTGGAAAAGGTAAATTGAACAAACATCGAAAATATTCTATTTTATTGTACGAAGTTTGACTGTGAATATTACTGATTCGTATTTTTAGAAGGCAAAAGAAATGAATTCCAATTTGTCGCTGATTGGTTTGGTGAAGAAGATAGAAAACAATTCGAAAAAAGAATTCAAAGTTTCAAACAACAATACAATGCTCTAAATGTTTCTATGGATAATGCAGAGGTAAAATAACGTATATACAATTTATACCTGTTTTTTTACTTTTGACTTTCTGCCCTGTGGGCACTAACAGGACCTTTTTTTCCATATCCATCACGGCCAGACCCATAATAGGTAGGCCGGATGGTAAGAGAGACATTCTGGCACCCAAGAGGGCCTCCTTTAGCAAGCCCATTATGGGATCGGCCAGGTCCACAATGGGGCGGCCGGATAGTGAGGGACGGGGGCCAACATATTTGGTCGGATTCCTCGAAAACGGTCTGAAGATTTTTCGACCCGTCTGGATTCCATCCCGAGTCCTCCAGAGCGGTAAGCTGCCATCTTGACCGCTCGGCCATCCGGCCGTTTAGTGAGACACAAGTTCCTGTATATCTAGGACAGATCACCCCTAAATGTCTTGATATTACTTGTTCGAATGCGATCTTGGATCCCCTAGAGCGGTAAGATAACATCTTTAACCGCCTCGGCCAACCGCCATCAATTTATACCTCTTGTAATTTAAGTTTTTTTCCTCCAAATTACACGTAAATAAAATAATTTTAAATTGTTCCAAACTGTAAAATTATTGTTATTATAAAATAGCAATATCAATAACGTAAAATAACATTTAACAATTTTTTCAGATTAATGTTGATGAATTAAGTAACATTGGAGAAATTCTTCATCGTATAACAGCTGATGATATGGCAATCGGATTAGCTTACCGAGTAAGTATATGAAATGTTTTAAATTTATTAATTGTAAAAATATATTCTTCGATTATTTTAACATTTAAACTATTGAAAAAGCTACAAGAATTATATATATATATATATAAACCGTATATAATTTATAATATTTATATTATATAAAATTTATATAGATGCTCTTTCCGCTCTGTGGGTACAAAGAGCGGAAAGAGTAAAAATATGAGCACAAAAATAAAATAATAATAATAAGGAATGTACTGTTTTGTTACAGTCAAATATTTATAAGAATATTTAAGAACGATAGAAACAAAGTTACCAAATGTGTTAACAACATTTAGATTCAAAGATCAAATTAAATAATTCACATTTCACTATACATATTTTCCCTTATATCTCAGAATCAATAAAGGATACGACTAGTTAATTTGTAATGTATTAAGATATATAATCTCCATTCCCCCGAGTTTCCATTACGAGTCGAGTTCGCTTGTAGTGGAAGATATTGTATAATATAATGCACAGCCTTCTTATGCTGACGTCACTTGCCAACTAATCAATCATTCAACATAAAGTTACAGTAGAAATTCCTGTACTTATATTTGTTTACTTAGTAAGATGTTTTTCACTCTGTGCACGGGGGACAAAACAATGAAATACATTAAATAAACAGCATACAAAATTACAAGGCAAATGCTATACAAGACTCTTACTGTCTTAGCTATAACTTATAATCCTAATAATAATTTATAATAACTTGTAATTACTTTATTTCTAATGTTGGTGATAGTCACTATAGACTCTATATCAAATTGAAAATGGCCAGTAACAACAAAATGCATTTTGGAAAGGTTAATTAAATATGCTGGGAGTATAATAAGTCGGTTCATTAGTCTTAAGTAACTATTTTTTTGTAATTAATTAATTTTATTTAAATCTAATTAATTAATTGCAGGCTTATCAGCGTTGGGTAAACATAAATGGAGAAAATCAATCACTTCCACGATTAGAAAATTTTACCATCCCTCAACTATTCTTTTTATCTAACACTAATGTAAGTTCTACTAAATTGATACATAGAAAAAGACTCCATAAATTGATATATACTTAAATATTTTATAGTTATGGTGCACCGGAAGAAACAACTCATTCGACAAATATGGGTGAGTTTACGGTTAATTTTTTATTAATAATTTAGAGATTAAATCTCAAATAAACATCTTCACTGTCGTTTTATTTCGTTTACATTTTATTTTATAAATATGTTTTATAATTTTTATTTTTTAGAATCAATATTTCTCATAGAAATGTGAAAGAATTCAATGAAGCTTTTGATTGTAGGTCAAAATCTGCTTCCAACTCTAGTAAAAATGCAATATCATTTAGTGTTGTGTATTAAAAAATAAAAAAATTTAGTGAAATCATTTGAAAAATTAATTCGTTTCTTCAATGTTTGGTTTATTTAATTATACGTTTTTCATTATTTCAATACACACACAGCTGGTTTACTAACAACTGTGGCTTTTGGTAGGAGCTGTTTCTTAGGAAGAAAAGTAACTTTATTTCCTCGTTTTTTATTTATAACGTGTTTAGGCTATACTATTCATGTTGTATTTATGTTATATTGTGTCTAAAATATAATTTAATAAATAAGTTTCCTTCCGTAAATAATTGATATTTAATTCAATGTGATTTTTTGTGAGGTTTTCTGGAGGTATACATCTCCAGAAAGCCTCGCAATTTTACTAAGTGCGTTTTATTTCGAGAGCTATGTTCATTTCCGATCAATATTGATGTTTTTGGCCAATCTAGGTTATGTATTATATATTCATTATATTGACTAAATTTTTGGTCAAAAACAGGGCGTTTAACCTGCCTTGCATCCATTATGATGAAAACATTGCATTTTAATTGAAATCGTCCCACGCGATAACAATTGCTGCTATTGCTCACTTTTTGTTCTCGAAAAGGAATAATATTTAGAACTCGTGATTGAGTACTCGTTTCTTTCTTAGTTGATTACAAATTACAAAAACTGAATTTAAAGTATGTTCACGAAAAAGCCAAAGTCTGTGTCTCTAAAAAACAAGAAAAATTGACACAAACACTCTCTTTTTCACACGTTTCCAAAATCAAAATCGATGTTTTTCTTAAATTTCAGGTTTATTTTCTGATTGTCATGCAACATTTTCTGAAAAAGTGCGAGTGAGTCTTAATTCCAGCTAGTAAAGTGTACTGTATTTAAATAATGTCTTAGGTACTTTTACATTGTAAATATATAAGTTCTATAGTATTTCCGATGCCGAGCATTTGTATTTCATCACCAATAGCTCAGTCCTGACTCCAATAAACCTCTACTTTTAGGCTAATGTCCGAATTTAGAATTTTAAATATTCTTAATAGCCACACGTCTCTCATAATTGCCACTATACGAACACAATCACATTAACAGTTTTTAACTGTTTATTAAGAAGTAAAACTGGAATCTGTCGTGTGGTTGTAGAAAGGATATTCATTAGATAGTTTCATATCACTGAAGAAAAATATATTAATGCAAAACGTTTTAATGAATTATTAAATTGTTAAACCAATATTGTTATTTTACATTATTAATCGCTTCTGCGATTGTTATATTTAACTACGGCGAATGTTTCCGAAGAGTTTGTTAAAATCCAGTGTATAAACTGTGAAGTCTCAGTACGTAAATCACTCCTTCAGACAAACTGTGAGCATTTGAACGAATTAATAGCTTCTTGCTCTTCGTCCTCATCACCGTTGCAATTACAGTACAGTGAATGCTGCTCTCTTTTCAAGAGTTTATAAAGGAGTTCTGCAAATTAAATAAGTAAATGTAAATATTAATGTTTGCAATTTTTACAGCTATTTGAAAACATATCAGTTTCATTTAACATCTACGGAAAATAGTCTGGAAATATATAAACTTGGAAAAGATTTCAAAATAGAAGATATTGTGCCAATCTGCAGAAATTACATTCAAATGAATAATGAAAATGTGTGTTTTGAATCCTCCTGTATCAAACTGATTTGTAAATCCTGCACATTCTGGATGTATATCAGTTGCATTAATAGATTTTTCATTTTTCCCATTTTTTTAATAAAAAATTTATACTTTTTTATATGTATATTTATAAATAGCAACTTAAATCTTCTTTAATTTTAGATGCTACGAAAATGTTGTGTGCCCGGTTATACTGTACAGTACGTCTAATTACGGTACACAGAAAGAATACACTAATGTTTTCAGTTTTCCCAAAGATCCTGTTCAATGTAAACAATGGATTAAAGCCATATATAGAAAAGATTTCGAACCTAGTGTTAATTCTGCAGTTTGCATACATTATTTTGATGAACAGTTTATATTAGAAAAGATAGTGCGGTGCTTGATAATGGCACTGTTCTCACTATTGGATGTAAAAAAGGATGCATTTTCTACAAAATTTCCATATCAATACTATACTTTTAACGAAAAAACGCAATGCAGAAGAAAGATCAGCTGAATTGCTTGAAAGAGAAAAAAAAAGTATAAGAATTGGTCATCCATAGATAAGATTAATTTTAAAAAATTGGAAGGAAAAGAATTCCTATAGATTGGATTACAATACCATCTGAAATGGATTCATTACGATATATTTCTTCTCTATAATAGATGTTACACAATGGGGTTAAAATTATGGAAAGTTTATCTGTTGAAATATGGCAAAATGAAATTTTAATTGCTCTATCAAAATTTAAGTGGATATTAAGTGATAGCACGAAATGTGATTTATGGAAAGAGTTTGATTGTTTAATAAGTCACTTGAATTCATATAAGTCAGATATAAGTGATAAATTGGAATATGCATCCATTTTAATTAATGAATGTCTAGAACAGGGGTGTGTCCAACCTTTTTTGTTCCTCTGGGCCACATTGGAAGAAGTCATAGAGTTTTGGGCCACAAGTATAGCCTATATAATATATTTGTGACCCAATCCTTAAATATACAAGTATATTTAAGGATTAACATGTCTAGATTATAGTAATAAGTATTAAAACTTTATCACGAAAAAGAATATTTAAAAAAAATTACTTCTACAGACCCTTTCAATTTTTACTTAGAAATAAATAAATTCATTTATTATAAAGGAGACAAACAAAAATTTATTAGAAAAACACAAATATTCGTTTTATTTGGGTCTCTAATTAATAAAAAACGACGAAACACTATTTTAAAGTGCATTTTTATTCGACTAATATATTTAT